GACAGAGGTGGTCCTTGACAAAGAGGAGAACATGTACAAAATCATAGATCACAAACACATAGGTGCCTTCAGGGAATGGGGTGCAACTCCAAGGGCCTAAAGAGGATACACATAAGCAGACATAAATGGTGGGAGACGAGGTGACAGCCAGATTGTAGAGTCTAGTCTTTAGTCTGTAGGCCAAGGAGAGAGGAGTAGGTTCACACCATGGATCTTCTCTACTGGAAGAAGGGGAGTCTCAGGCTGCTGTAGAGCTGTTGGCCACCAAGCTGTTTTTCTCCTGAACTAGTCTCCACAAATACACAGAATCTTAGGCACCACTGTAGGAGATTAGGCAGACCACAACAATCTTCGTTTCAGGCAAATTGGTGGGCAGACTCTAAAACTTCAAGCTACCTCATCAGCAATAACCTTACCATTATTCACAGATAATAAAGGCCTCCACATGACACCAGGATGAAGACCAGGAACAGTGAGTGGTTCCTGTACCAGTTTTGGCATGTCGAGGCCTGGAAACATGCCACACATCAGGCCTGTTGCAGTTTACTGGGTACCAACCAGGTATATAGGCTCTAAAATGCAGTTAAGTGGGGGATTGGGATGGCAGCTTGGCTGTGTCACCCACAAGATAGCATCCTGACTAGCCTGGGGTTCTAGTCTCCCTCAACTTTGTTTCATCAGGAAAGAACATGGAACTGAATGTGAAATGCCCAGCTGTGATTCATTCTGATAGCCAGAGTCTGCAGTCTCTTGAGCCAGGGTGGATACACCCCTGACAAGCATTGTCAGGGCTCCTCATCTGTGTTTCTGGAAGTCCTGAACAATTTCCCCAGGAGTGGGGGTCCCGGCCCCCTAGTAAGAGTGCCAGGGAAGGTCTGGGTGAAGGACAATGGAAGAGGCCAGCTGGGCTTGAGGTTTATGAGCAGCTGTGATAGCCATGGCTACAGCACAGGAACAGCAGCTGCTAGCAGTTCTTTTCAGACACCAGATGGCCACTAACCAACAAGGGGCAGGATAAGTTCTGACAAGGTTTCCTCACAGTCCCTTAGTGCCAATCTCCAGCTGTCCAGAAGGAACTAAGGAATGGGGAGAGGATCAGCTGGGGGAGGGGCTGGCCCAGCTAGAGAACCACTGCTGGGCTAGGAGGCCAGACCCTCCCTGCTCTGAGCTTGCTCACAGGCTTGCTTCTCACTGTCTAAGTGCCCACAGCCAGACATACACCGTCAATAACCTCTCACACCATTCCTTCCACACCCCTTACACTGTGGCTGTATCTTCCAGCTCTCCTATGTGCATTAAACTGTTTCTGTTGTGTCTTTGTTCATGTTGATTCGTCTGGCATGACTTCCCCTTTGGCTTCTACAACCTTTTTATCTGTTTCTTCATTCATTAAACTACAGCTCAGTCATCAATGACAATGGGGAGCCCTACTTTGACAGGCTCTTCCTGGCCCTGACCCTGTCTGAGTGTGGCCTGCCTGTGGGTTTCATAGTATCTAGGATTTCTTTGCATCGTTGCATTTACAAGTTTATTAAAATCATCTGTTTTTGTATTCAGCTTCTCCACTGCATTGTGGTCTCCAGAGAGTGTTTCTTATTCATCTTTGGAGCCTTAGGGGCCAGTTCTAGACCCAACATGGAATATGCATCAGGTAATTTTTGTTAAATTGAATAGCCCTCCCACAACCTCAATAGTCCAGGGCTTTTGAAACTAATAGGAAGTAACCTCTTTCTGCCTTCCTGATACATATGGTTTCAGCAGTCTTTCCACTCTAAGGGTACAAACTCTTCCATCTTCCCACTGGCAACCACCAGCCCTCTCACCCACTAAGTACCTGCTTCCCCTTCCCCAAATTCCCATTTGTTAAAATCAACTTAAGGCCAAAGCTGCCCTGCCTCACAGGTGAGAATGAGCCCAATCAAACCTGAAATTGCCATTGAGTCATTAGTTTTGTGACTCGATGGGTAAGTAAGAGGTAGTGTAGTATAGTACAGAGAGCATTAGCTCTGGTGTCAGACCTGGGTTCAAAGCCCATTCCATTTACCAGCTGTATGATCTTAGGCATATTTCTTCACTTCTCTGAGCTTCAGTTTTCCATGAGCAAGACATGTAGACTAACTTCTACATACGATTTGCTTTAGGCTGAGTCCCCCCGAGAAACAGACCTAACTTGAGTACTAATACTATATTTGGAAGTGATCCAGGACAGGCCAGGATTAGGGTGATGCAAGTGAGATCCCTATGGTGCAGAACGTAGAGACCCTCTCAGGTTCATGCAAGTAAATGTAGAGACCCTCTCAGGTTCCCTGTACTTACATGAACCCAAGAGTGACAGCGCCTCACCCTAGTCCTGATCCTGATCCAGCAAGCACTGAGAGTGGAGTTGGAAGTGAGGTAAGAAGGGGAAAAAGTCAACAGAGTGTTTGTAATTAAGTTGCTGTTGGGAGCTACTGAGGTTCAATCCCACAGGGAACCCTGAGAGACAGGTAGAATGTGCCTCAGAGTTGTTCCACTTGAGGAGTGATGAAGCTGGGATATTTATCCTCCAATTCCCATGTTCACTGGCTGACAGCGGCTCCAGGAGCACTAACTCCCTGGTATTCTCAGCTTGTACCAACACAAGCCAAGAGAAGTCCTCAGACAGGCAGTCACGGGTACTTGCAATAGAACCCTGTGGATATATAGTGGAATGGTGAGTGCCCAGGGGAAATGGGCAAGACACAGCCTCTGCTAGAGGGCTGTTGTAAGGATGAAATGAAGTAATACAACTACAGTGCCTAACACTAGTCCCCTTCTCTCTGCAAATTTATGGCAATAGCTTGTGAAGTTCATGGAGCTTCCAGCTCTCCGTGAGTCAGCAACACTGGCAGGATAGCTGCTTGCCATGTTTCAAGATGCAGCAGAACCCTAAGAGAGCTCTAAATGCCCAGGACCTATGCTGTCTGTGGATGGCTGGTGGTTGATGGAGCTAGGGTAGTCCCTCCTGAGTATTCACTCCCCTGAGAACTGTCTCCTCTTGCATCTTCACCCCCCCCCCCGCCCTTCCACTCCTCACTGCAACACTACTTATGACACACAAAACTAGCAGTAAGTATCACATTAGTAACAACTGCTGGCACTTACTCATCACCATCTACATGACTAATATTATGCTAGAGCCTTTATACACATTATGTTAATCCTTAGAACCCTTTAATTATGACTTTTCCCATTTTATGTACAAGGAAACAAGGTCTCAGAGAAGCTGAGTAACTTGTATCAGAACCTAAAAGTGCAGACTTGGGTTGATAAGACACACTTTCCACTTTATCTCTTCACTCTTTCACTAATGATCCTCCCACAGGACCACAGCATGGAGAGAATAAGACTGTGGATAAACAAGCAGCCCTTTCCAGAGACAGCTAGGGGAAGGTGGGGGTGGTGGCAGCTGCTCTTCCCTTGACTCCCCATTAGCTAATAATTAAGTGTATGGGTCTGGTCTGGTTGATCCATGCCCTCCTACCACTGGTCCATGTTCTATGGAGACCCAATTTTAAACTAAATAATTCATTTTCTAGAAGCAGCCCTTCCTCTTTTCTTATCTTCAGGCAGAAAGATTAACACACTATCCCCTGTTTATAGAGCTCCACCTCCAATAAATTGCCATTTAATGAGAGAGAAGATGAGCGAGAGTTAAGCTTATGGAACATAACTGATAAACTACTTTTTGTCAGAAGAAAAACAGGAAAATAATACTAGAGTCAAAATACAGCATTTTCTTTAGTACTGAAGAGTACTGTGGTCTCACTGCCATGAATAAAGAGTGGCTTTCTTTCTTTCTTTGAGCCTCTGTTTCCTCATCTGAAAAGTGGAGATACCTACCTTATATGGTTGCTGTGAGGATTAAATGAAGGCACATATATTTCCTGGACCACAATTCTTGCTTAAAAAATAACAGTGATTATTTATGTGATGCTGGCTGCAATGTCAGTGCCATCCAACAGCAAAAAATCATCTATAGAAAGAATAGACAGTGAGCCTGTCATCCTGTCACCTTCTAACTCAAAGAACTTGTGTGAAAAAGTGCCTTAGGCAGAACCTGAATTCCTGTGCCTGTATCTTCCTTCCATCCCTCCCATCTGTGAACTCCCCAGTCTAACACACACCTCATTGTCATTTTAAACAAAGGGAAAAGGTCACTTTGGACATGATAAATCAGAAGTAAGGAGAGTCTGAGTAATGTGCCTGTTTATCCCGTCCCAAGTTCATTTCCTGGTCAATAGCCACCTCCTGCAATCTTTCATTACATCTTCAAATCAGCCTGGGCTAAAACATACTTGTTTGGTCTTATCCTTCAGGTGGTAGCTTCTGCCATTTGACATCCTTTCATTTTTGAAGTCTGCCTGTGCACTGAGAACAGACTACATCTCTGTTCTGTACTAGAAGCTCCCAGGCAATGTGGTGGAGAATGTGCACTACTTGAGGAATGTTATTGAAATAGAAGCTATTTCCTGTTGCTGCAATGACCTTTGGCAGCAAGAGAACCAATCTTGGTTTGAACAGATGAATATGTCTGGCATTCCCACTGGTTAATCTACTTAGGAAAATAATTGCACAGGTACTCATAACAGAGGATTCACTTACAAGTTCCTGGGAAGAATGGCAAAGATACATCCCGCAAAGGCCCTATGGTCTGGCTAAGAATTCTTAACTGAGTAACGACCGCAAGATGAAGTGACAGGTCACTGAATGGTAGGGACAGCAGAATAAGAAGTAGGATTCAATGCCCCTGGTACCTCCCAGAATGATGTCAGAAACAGTCAAGGGAGTAATGACACAGTGTTCAGAACTGTACACTACACATGAAGTGAATATAAATCGTATGTCAAAGATCAGTAATGAAATTCATTCAGAAACTTGTAATTTATGAGTCTGAGAACTACATCTATAATTAAAATATCCCCACCCCAAATCCCACAACACAGAGGAAAAAAGGAAAATCTCCATAAATTGAAATAAGATTTCGTACAAACATAGATAAATATATTTAAATTTTCCTTTAAGTAAATTCAAACAGACTGTTATAAAACAGAATACTATACACAGTTTTCTGTATAGATCATAGGAAACATAAAAACCAGGATGCTGAGTGGGTGCTGGTGGTAAGAACTGCAGGGTCAAAACTTGCTCAACAGTGAACTGGAGACCACTAGGGCTTAATGGACATGGCCCACCCCTATTGCTAATGGTTTTGTCAACCTTTGGACACTAGAAATTCAGGATTTTCTCCTTCTTCCTCTGCCTGCTTTGGTCCGTGTCCGGCTACCTGGCTGGACAGCAATTTGCTTTTTGAAGTCCACTAAGCAATCTGTGACTTCTGAAATGGCCAAAAAAGACTTGATGGGAGACTCATTTAAGTCGAAGTGTGCAAGAGAACTCTCCATCTCTCTGCTGCAGCCTGCCTCTTCCACCCCTGGTGAGGGCACCCTAGAGAGAACAGAAAAATTCATGTTCAATATATACCTACTAAGCCCCAAGAATGTGCTATGCACTGTACCAGAGGCTTTTATATATATTATTAGTACACACAATCTTTGTAAAAATCCAACCAGATAAGTACATCATTCTGCTTTCATAGATGAAAACCCCGGGTAAATCATACATCTAAAGCCACACTAGGCACTGAGGGAATGAGGATTCAGACCCAAATTCTCAAGCCGCCTGAGGTCAGAAGAGCAGCGTTGGATGGGGACAGAGAGGTAGGGAGGAGTAAAACAAAGCTTTTGATCTGCTTGTTTTAACACTATTAGTGAATCAATCTATCCATCCAATTCTTATCCTAGATAAGATATATGGAGAACAAGAGTTATACAAAGAGAGAGGTCTCAATAGTTCCACGGTGATTTCTACTTCAACAATTTGAGTATCGCACTACAACAGAACACAGGACCAATCCTGTGCTTTTCGGAACTACTGACAGCCACACCTAAGTGCACACCCCTATTCACCTGTAGGCTTGTTTCTGAAGGCTTGTTTCTGCAGGCTTGGTCTTTATCTCTGCATCTGTGATAGGAGAGAAAAAGTAATAATGCTGGAAGTAGTATTGGTAATCATACTACTTCTCACTGATCTTGTGCTTCCTGTGTTTTAGGCACTGCTTTTCATCAGGCCTATCCATGTAGCTCAGATCCCTAATCCCCAGACCAATAGAATGTGAGCATTAGCATCCAACAGGCTCAGCTGCAAAGGTACTGAGGTGAACACTTTTGAATGAACAGCTACTGAACAAATCTACTTCAAATCTGGACTTGAGGAATAAGGAGTTGTCAAGGGAAATCTGCCACTTTCAGAGATTCACAACCTGGTGATCTAGAGGCGGCAGGATGAGAGGTTTGGAAAGGCTGCCTTTTTCTAGTCAGAATGTACAACAGATTTGCTTGATTAGAATGAACTATTAGAACTAGACAATAAGCAAACCTCACCAGGCTTAAGCAAAAGCTCCTCTTCCATCTACATCCAGTGAAATTTAACAACAGCAACATCAATAACAGCAGCTAATATTTTTTAAGAGCATACTTATTCCAGGGAACATGTCTGGATCTTTACTAGATATAATCTTTGCAATCTATGAAGTTGGTATTACTAACTCTATGTAATGCTCTTGACCAATCCACTATACTGCTCCCTAAATTCTAGGCTCAAAGTTACTTCCTACACTCCCTCAGGAGTTGGGACACTAATGATAACATATGAATGATGCACAAAACATTAGGAGGCAATAATGTTTGCATGTCTGGTTTTCCATGCTTATTCTTCATAAAGTATACTTGAGGCCTGTGTCATTTCCCTGTGATTTGGAAATGTTTCTTCCCAGTTCAACAGGCAGTCATGATCCCAGGCTTTATAAAGCCTGAAATGAAACACATGATGAATAAAACAGGGTATTTCCCCATCTTCCTTTTGATTTTACTTTCTAAATGACCTAGAATCTCAAAGTCTGGCTGATTGTGTCAAATGTTCACCCACATAACCCCAACAAATAGTCTAGGGGTTGGCAGTGGCTATCTCCACTGGAAGGCCTCAGGCATAAGACCAGAAAACTCGTCCAGGAGTCCTTACCTGCAGTCGTGTGCTCAGACTGTTCCAAGAGACTAAGGAGTCGGCCTTCACTGTGGCCTTTTTCCTGTTACAGAGAAAAATAGATGAAAGGGTTACTTCATGGAAGAGAGTCTAAAATACAACTTCCTTAGCCCAGATCACACCTGTTTCCAGAAGAGAAGAGGCGTGGAGGCATAGCTCTAGGGAAGTCTTTTGCTTTCTAGTAAACCGTAATGAAGAGAATACATCTCTATACCAAGAATATTATCCAGGAATGAATACCAGAGTCAAGCCAAATCAGTCCACTAAAATCTTATCAAAGAACAGCAGCCTTTGACCTATGGTAGACTTGGGTAGATTAAAAATAGAAAATAAGAGTTTCAAGGAAGGCAGTGCTGCCAGAAGAATAAACTGGCTCTCTAGTATAAGTAAGCACTTCCCTATAAACCCCAACTCCAAATCGACACCTCTAAATCACCCCATTCATAGAGAGGTCCCTTTCTTCTGGCATGACAAATAAAGCCTTCCCCATGTTAGTGTGTGCAGGGACTGCTATGTTAGTAATCCTAGAATATGGAGCTCCTTCCTTATCTTTGATTTCTAAGCCAAGACTTGCTCTTCCTGATCTCTAATTACAAGGCCCAGAAAGTATATCCATCCTTCCAGTGACCAGGGCCCAAACCCCATAGCTTCCTAAGGCTGGGCACATAAGTTGTTCAACAGAGTTGATCTTGCATGTGTTCTTGGCAGTGGGGGTATGAATTGAATATCCTTTCAGGAAAGTAATTTGGCAGTACGTTTCAAGAGACTTTAAAATGTTTATGTCAGGCCGGCCCGGTGGCGCACTGCTACAGTGCGCCACTTGGGAAGTGCAGCGGTGCTCCCGCCGAGGGTTCGGATCCCACATACAGACGGGCCGCTCACTGGCTGAGCGAGGAGCGGGGGCAACACTGAGGGTTGCGATCCCGTTGCCGGTCCCGGTCCGGTACGGAGGCGACACTGAGGGTTGCGATCCGTTGCCGGTCACGAAAAAAAGACAAAAAAAAATAAAAAATAAAAAAATGAAATAAAATAAAATGTTTATGTCTATTGCCCTAATAGTTCTACTTCAGGAAATCTATTCTAAGGAAATAATTAGTGGTACAAAGACTGATTAATGTTTTAAACACAGTCTTATAATACAGAAGAATTGGGGGCCGGCCCGGTGGCGCACTGCTACAGTGCGCCGCTTGGGAGTGCTGCGGCGCTCCCGCCAAGGGTTCGGATCCCACATACAGACCGGCCGCTCACTGGCTGAGCGAGGTGCGGGCCCAACACCGAGGGTTGCAATCCCGTTGCCGGTCCCGGTCCGGTACGGGCGCGACACTGAGGGTTGCGATCCGTTGCCGGTCACGAAAAAAGACAAAAAGGAAAAAAATAATAATAATAATACAGAAGAATTGGAAAGAATCTAGAAGCCCTATAATATGAAAATGGTTAAGTGAACAACTGTGTGATCCAAACATTAACAGCAATTTTTAAAAATAGTTTTAAAATAAATCCAGAAAGGTATTTATGCTATATCTTAAGTTTTTATAAATACAAGATAGAAAATTATATATAGTATAGTACTATATATAGTATGTGTGTGTATAGTGTTTGTGTATATATATATAGTATGTATTGTGTGTACACACACACACACACACACACACAGATGGTCCTCAACTTATGATGGTTTGACTTACGATTTTTCAAGTTTATGATGGGTTTATCAGAACATAACCTCATTGTAACTCAAGGAACATATGGACTTATGATAGTCTGACTTTGAACTTTTTGACTTTACAATAGGTTTATCAGGGTACTAAACAAATTTTCAACTTACAGTGTTTTTAACTTACAATGGGTTTATTGGGACATAACCCCATTGTAGTTATCCATACACAGAGAGCGAAAGAAAAAGAGTGAGAGAGAGTGAGTGAAAGTGAAAGAGAATAGTGTTGATAACATTAAAAATGTGTTGAAAAACAGACTAGAAGAAAATAGGCCAAAATATTAAAAGTTGTCTTTGAGTAGCTAGATTATGGGTGATGATTGCCCCTGAATTCTCTACACTTTTTTTTTTTTAACTTTCCATATTTTCTACAATGAACATGTGTTTAATTAAAAGAAAAAATAATTTTAAAAGCACAAATCTTGTTTCAAGATAAATAGGAGGGAAGTAGGGAGGGAGGGAAAACAAAACAAAACACCCAGAACATAACTGTGGCCTCTTAAAACTAAGAATCAGGAGGGCAGCCTTTCCCAAAACACTCCACACAAACCTTTGGGTTCCTTAGCCGTTGCCGCTGCTTCCTCTCCACAGCTGAGCGTATTCTACCACTCTCTTCAGGCTCATCTCCTTGGTCACCCCTTGCAAGCTGGAGACAGGAATCTACGTGGCACTGATACTCTCTGAATGGAACCAGGGATTTACAAACGTAACACTTCTCATTCCTAGCCAATCAGAAGAAAGAGAGAAAAGGCAGTTTTAAGATATGATTTTGCCTCTTAGCTCCTAGATATGTCTCAAATTGTGCTTTTACGTCTCAAAGTTATTCTGTCAGGAGACATGTCAACCAATGCAGATTTGCTCAGCAGGATCACCAACAAAACTACCCCAATGCCAATCAAAAGGAGCAAGTGACGAGCAGTTTTCCCTGGCTGTTTCTCTGTGCCCTGCTGTTGCCACAGTGGGGTGGTAATGAAATCAGCTCTTCTAACTATTTCAAACAATGCTGATTACTCTTCAGACATAAGATACCCTGTCAAACTCTTCTGAAATTAAGTGTACTTGTTTTTTCAAAGAGAAGTTAAAATTTAAACAGAAAAGGGAGGACCAAGAGCATTAAATCAAGGTGACATTTTCACCACGGTGGATGGACTTATCTGATCAGTGAATCAAGTGTGCCTACAGGCTGACTTCCTTAATTCTATAACCTGCAACATTAACTAGGAAGTTACTACAACCATGTGGTTCTGACAAAGACTTCAGCATAACTTTATATACACAATTATTTTTATCTTTTTATAACAGTAGATTTTGGGAAAAGAAAGGAAAGTATGTCCTTGAGGTAAGGTTTGTTAGGAATCAGTGAAAATGGAATCGTTCAGGGAAAAGGAAGAAAATGAACATTTATTAAGCATCTTCTCTGTGGTGAGAACCTGTGGAAGGCCCTTTAAACACAATTTCTCAATGAATTCTTCAGTCCTTTCAGGAAGAAACTATTCTCTCCAAGGTCCTACAGCTAATAATTGTCAGAATCCAGATCTAACTGATTCATAAGATCATCTTAGTTTTAAGAAGTTAAAGAAAACTTTCCAAAGCATGCTTTTTTAGACTTTTCTTTCTGGCCATTACTTTTCAGTAACTATAGAAAGAGAGACTTAGATTAACTATAAGGAAGAATTTCTCTGGAGGTCTTTAAAATAAGGAAAATATGTCTCTCAAGTACCTAATTATCTGGAAGAGTGTAAGCAAAACCTTGCCTTCTGAGAAAAGCTAGACTAGTATACATTTCAAGGTTTATCAATTAATGCAAAAAGCAATAGGAATTATCCCTATTATATGAGATACAGCAGCACGGTATAAGGAGAAGAAGTTTTTAGAGTCAGGTAGGCTTTGCCACTCTGGCCAGTTACATATAATTTCTCTTAAGTTTCTTTATTTAGAAAAAGAAAGAATAACTATCTTATCAACAACTGTGAAGAGTTATAAAGTAAATATGGCATCTAGCACAATGACTGGCAGATAATATTAAGCACTGAATAACAGCTATTATTGTTACTGCTATCTCAGACACATTTTATTAGATGCTGCGGATATAAACATGAATAAAGGCAAGTACCTGCCTTCAAATAACTCACAACCTAGCCAGGGACACAGAAAGGGGGGGGGGGGGGGGGGGGGGGG